GCGTAGGAAGGAAGAAACCGTTGACAGTGAATGGGAGGAGGGCAGGATTGTAGGGGGATGAAGGAAGTGGAGCTGGACAATCCTGCAGGGAGTGAGTGAGAAATGATGCCCATGGCAGGGGGAGGGTCTCCTTTGAGGGGCACTGGCCCAAGGGGCAGCACTGGATGATGCTGGGTGGGTGAGAAATTAATCCAAGGCAGGAGGGGATCCCTCAAATCTGGGCACTGGTTCTGGGTTTGATACTGGATGATCCGGAGGTGGAGGGGGCGGAGAGATGCAGTCCATGGGAGGGGCAACTGGTCAAGGGAGTGGTGATGGAGGAGGGACTATAGAGGTGCCAGCAGACTCAGGTAGTTGACTCATAGTTTCATCAAAAAAGATGGGCGAAGAGTATGAAGTGTCACCTTGAAATCTCTCAGATTCAGTAGGGCCAGCCCCATTGATTGAGACATCCCTATACTCAGCTCATGGATGAGAATTTGCAGACCCAGCATGCCTATCCCCTACTTCGCTACCAAAAAAACATTAGCTTCTGCAAGGATAATTAGCAAAAATACCATCTGATAGGAAGCAAAACATTACACTATTGAAGAGGGGCCTCTATATGCTTCCAGCAATGGTGGAGAAACAAGCCAGGGTGATTTGGGGGCTCTCCCTTCCACTGTGCTTTTAATGGCTCCAAGACTCATGACATGGGAAGAAAACAGAGACACAGTTTCTATTGTGACTTTTGTATCTAAGTTTGCCAAGCAAAGAGCTCTTATTCTCAACATTGCAAATGCCTCTTTTTTGAGTCAGAGATTTTGCTTTAGGCAGCAGTAGAAAAGAATGGTAGAAAAGCATAATGGCCAGACGTCAGGCACTGGCAGCTGCGGTCTGGCTGGAGGCTGTCAGGACCAGCTTCTGTTTTTCTAAATTTTGTTTCTCTGGTTTCCCGGGCAATGTCGGGTAAGTCCAGCTAGTATAAAATAATTAGAAGATTCTTTCAGATTTTCAGGGTTTCAACTTCTATTTTCCATTTTTAAGGTCTTGACCCAGCAAAATACTTCAGGACAAATTGAATGTATACTATTGGATGCTTATTGAATGCTTAAGTGCTTTGTCGGATTAGGTAAAAATGTTATTCTCTGATCTATATGGATCTCATCTCAGATGATTTTTACTGCCCTTGGCTGTCAGTAAATTTCCCCATATATAAAAAGAGTTACCAGCACTGAGAGCCAGCGTGGGAATATGAAAACAGAATTTTGGTTTCAAATATTTAGCAGTCAGAAGATTTATACTTACCTGGAGCCCAGTTTAAGTATCTGAAAGGACTGCCTCCAATCCATTGCCAGCCACTATTCAAATCCAGCCTGTTAAGTCCAGTCCAGAGAGCAGAACCCATACTTTCAGTTAACTCTAAACAAGAAATTACGTGCACTATTATATTTTTGGACAGCACTAATCTGTAAAAAATTATACATTTTAGATTATTAATGTCTATGATACTGAGATTTCAGACTGCTAATAAGAAGTTAATTAGCCCCGAGATTTTGACAGAAAGTTATATTTCTTATGAAGCTTTTATTTATGGCAGCAATTGCAAAGTGAACATGAGCAAGATTCCATTGAGTAAATTCAGCCTAGACGCTATTTGTACAATACATTAACAAATGGTCGTTTCATTATTAACCTGCTCCAAACTGGAGGGTAAGAACTGTTCTTCTGTTCAGAGACAAAAGTTCCAAATAACCTAAAATATCAATTTTCTTGGCGTCATTGGAACCATCAGCAAATTCATTCATTCATACAAGAGTAATCACCTTTATATAAACTCTTGGGAATAGTAATAACGACTAAAAATGGCATGAGACAAGTTCCCTCCATCCCTCCTCTCCAAAAAGTCTATACAAGGATGTAGCTATAATACTATGCCAAGTATTCCCAGAATGCAAGTTGGGGCTTTGCAGTTGTTTGTTACTTTACCTCTTAGATACATTTGTTCATGAATCTGTGTGATGCTTAATAATTCTGCATTCTGTTGCTGGCAGCTTTTTCTTGCTTGGTGCCATGTTAGAGCTGACTGGGAGTTTATCTGGTAGTGGAAACCTGTTGAAGGATCTTTCTTCCAAAATCTGATCATGTCTTTACCTGCTGAGAAACAAAAGATACAGAATGGTTACAAGCAGTAATTACTAACTAGATAAAATTAATTATGGAGTCAAGTAGAGTCTGATATTTTTATAAAACGTTGTTTTGCCAGGGTCATGGGAAATATGGGAATATTTCAGGCAGGTCAAGGAGACAAGATAGTAGTGCCAGTTCACCAGCAATTATGGCAATTATTACCATGTATGGAGTGGGAAGGAATACTTGGTTAGTGCGGATTACTTCAGTCTCCAGATTGCAATATAATCAACAGGATCAAAAGGTGCCATATTTGCATGGAATATTAGCAAAGGAATCCTCCGAGTACAGATCTCTGAAAAGGTATATAGGGCTCAGTTCGTCTCTTAATGGAATTATGCACACATCCACCTCAGAGAGCAATGGAATCTGTGTAAGCAGCCTCCAAAACTAAACTGAACCCTAAATACTTTCTAAATTAATACACTTTATGAGGTTAAGGAATATCTAAGTGTCAAACTTCCTGCTGTAAAAGACTGACCACTGTAATGTCTCTGATTTGTAAATTTACCCCTCTTTCGGATCTTTTGTTTTGAGAGGGCTGTTGTAAATCTGTGAGTGTTCAGAAAATATAAAAACAAATAAATCAAACAGTAAACAAAGCCAGTCCAAAGAAAAGTTGAAAGAAGGGGTTGGTGGTGGATTTTACTCTCAGTTACCAATTCTGGGAATACTGTAGTTTGCTCAAATGAAGATGGAAAGAATTATTTTATGCTGCATGTTTGTAGCACTCACATGAGGGAATGGAACAAGTATGTCGTAATCAGTGATTTAAATCATGATATAAAAGCATTTTGAATCCATAGGAGAGGGCCTTAGGTTCAAAGATAAGCAGCATAATGGAAGAAGGCACAACAATGGAAGAGAACCTTGGAAGAACTGACAGAAAGTAAAACCTGAACTGTAAGGTGATGGATGAGAAAGTGAAGAGAAGAAACCTGGTGTTTATAGTAAAGTCTGGGGTAAGTCAGTGAAGGGATTTAAAGAAGGACTGATGTAGGCAGAGCCATATGAGAGGAAACATTTTAGCAGCAGACAATTTTTATTTTATTTACTTTTCAGTTCTCAAAATTTCATCCATCATAGACTTCTGTGTGAACATAAAGAGAGTGATACTGGGTTAGACCAGAAGTCCTTCTAGCCTGGTATCCTGTCTTCAGATAGTGGCCAATGGCAGGTGACCCAGAGTGAGTGAACCAAACAGGCAATCATCCTGGCTAGTAGCCATTGGTGGGCCTATCCTCCATGAATGTATCTATTTTTTTTTTTGGACCCTGTAATAGTGTTGGCCATTACAACATCCTGGGGCAGAGAGATGCACAAGTTAATTGTGTATTCTATGTAGAAATACTTCACTGAATTTGTTTTAAATGAGTGCCTATTAATTTCATTTGGTGAGCCCCCTTACACTTTCTTACTTCCTCCACGCCAATCATCATTTTATAGACCTCAATCCTATCTCCCTTAAGTCATTTCTTTTCCAAGATGAAAAGACCCAGTCTTATTAAGCTCTCTTCATAAGGCAGCCATTCCATATCCCTAATAATTTTTCTTGCCCTTTCTGAACTTCTTCCAATTCCATTTTTTTCCGAGGAAGAGACCACATCTGCATACAGTATTCAAGATGCGAGCATACTATGGATTTATAAAGAAACAATACGATATTTTCTGTCTTGTTATCTATCCCTTTCTTAATGATTCCCAACATTCTGGGTTTTTTTCTTTTTGACTGCTGCTGCATATTGAGTAGATGTTTTCAGAGAACTATCCACAATCACTCCAAGATCTCTTTCTTAAGTGATAACAGCTAACCTGGGTAAGTGGGCAATAGCAAACATCATTTCATATGCACAATTGAGATTATGTTTTCCAATATGTATTACTTTACATTTATAAACATGGAATTACATTTGCCATTTTTTGTTTCCCAGTCACCTTATTTTGTGAGATCCTTTTCAAGCTCTTTGCAGTCTGCTGTGGGCTTACCTATTTGGGCAGTTTTATATCATCTACAAACTTTGCCACTTCCCTGGTCATCCTTTTTTCCGGATCATTTATTAATATATTCAATAGGATTGGTCCCAGTATAAGGGACCCTGGGGGACACCATCTCTCTCCATTCTAAAACCTGACTAATTATATCTATTCTTTGTTTCCTATCTCTTAACCAGTTACCAATCCATGAGAGGACCTTCCCTATTATCCCATTACAGTTGACTTAAGACTGCATATGTGGAAGAGGATACAGGTAGCAGAAGATCGGGTGGAGAAGGTTGCAATAGTTCAGACAAGCTGAGACTAAAGGGATCTCATACTGGGTTTAATTAAAACACACAGAAGTTAGAAAAATATATAAATTATAGTATTACAACATGAGATAGTAACTTCTCAAGAGTCAGTAAATTCATAATTAAGCATCCTACACTGACTGCAACTATTCTTGTGCACATATCCATTATAACAGTTTCTCAGGAGGGATGGGCATGTTAGTCTGTATCTGCAAAAACAAAGAGTGTTTAGCATTCAATAAATGTATTTGGGCATAAGCTTTTCTCAATAAAACTGACTGGAGCGGAAAGTACAAAGGCAGGGATATATATGTGCTAGTATAATAAAAGAAGGAGAATACTTATCAATTGTAGGACCAGTTTAATGAGACTAATTCAGGATGGTATGTAATTTCCACTCCATTTAATTTGATGAAGTGGGTTTTACCAACAAAAGCTTATGCTCTAATAAATCTGTTAGTTTCTAAGGTGCCACAGGACTCCTCATTGTTTTTCTCACATTGCAGGGGCACGGTGTAACTGAGTTACATTCTAATATAATACTTTTCAGCAAGACTTTATGGAAGGGGAAGTGCATGCTATTTTATTCTTAAATTGCACCCTTTTTTATTCATATATGCAACATTTTGTATTAGTTCTTTGTGAAGAACAACAGGATGTGGAAATGAGTCATATACTGAACTTTTATCTGCTAGACTGTTCAACATTAGCAAGACCATGACTACTGCTGGTTTGTTAAATATTGTGTTGTAGCAAAAAATATATTAATTCAGAACTTACATTTTAATGGGCAAAATCCATACAATTGGTCTACATCAAAGTCTGTGGTTGTACTACACCAAAGCCAGCCATCTGTCCTGCCAGCATCTGTACACTCACTATACCATTTGTCATTAAACTTGAAAGGGAAAACGCAGGGAGCTCCATTGGCATTTCCTAACAATGTAAAGATATCTAAGGAGGCAACATGATAAAGACACAGAAGTATTAACATATTAATGCAAGCAGGGACTACCTTATATATAGCATTTGCTAGAGCATGCATTTTGAACAGCATTACAGTCGATGTCATCTTTCAAAATGTTCTTTCCTCCTATCGAAAATGCACTTCAGCAAGTTCTCAGACTCAATTAGCCTAATTAGTTTATAAAACAATATTAGCTTTGACATAAAAACTTTTCTGATTTAACATTTACAGAATTAAATTTCTATTACAAACTGTGTTTCGACAGAAATAATCAGTAAAACCCTAGACCATGATGTATTATGCTCTTTTAAACATCAATGTTTACATTTTATGGGGCACCCAAAGAAATTATTTGTCCATCATCATACTACTACTCTTTCTTTCTCATTGTATATGTATATATGTGTGTATGTATGTCTTTTTTTATGGAGAAATACATTTAAATTTGAATGAAATATAAATAGTTAAAAATACTGAATTTATGTTTAAACTTAAATCACATAAGGAAAAAAATTAAAGTAAATGAAAATGATTAATTAATTTACTTATCATATAAGTCTGAGTGATAAATAGTCAGTTTTCCAGCTAATCATCGGCTACTAAGTGACTATGATCACTGAACAAATACAGGGGAAAAAATGAAGCTCATTGCAGGAGGAGTAATTTTAGTCCGAATTAGGGGCTTAAGTTCGAATTATCTAGCCCTTGCCGCGTGTAGCCATGGGTTCCGAATTAGGGGCTTTAGTTCGAATTATCTAGCCCTTGCCGCATGTAGCCATGGGAAGGGAATCCAAAATACCGGGCATTTAAAAATGGCAGCGCCCGGAAACAGGCAAATAAAGCCCGGGATATTTTAATCCCGGGCTTCATTTGCAAGTTCGAATGACTACATTAGCCACCCTAGTTCGAAGTAGGGTAGCTAGTGTAGACATACCCTCAGAGACACAAGACTGGACTAGATGGACTTGGGATGTGATCCAGTGTGGCAATTTCTGTTCCCAGTTTTGTTTAGGTTGTATGTTGAAGAGTATGGTATTAAAACTAACAGACAGACAGAAAGCTCCCCTTACAGCAAGTAGGCGCTGTGACTGAGACAGGACTGCAAGATTGGACCCCACATAATTGAACTTTCTAGCAATGTGAGGCAAAATATCTCAACACTTTGTTGCCTATTGTTATAAAAAGAACCCTGGAAAGTGCAGGAGCAGTAGAAATGTTGATTGACAAAAGCATCTCAAGCGAACAACAGACCAAAACATGTGCCTCCCTTTTTGAGTGAAAACCTAAATCCCACTGAATTAACGAGAGTTAAAAACCAGCTCAAGCTTTTTCTCGAGTAGGGATTATTTACACATTTGCTCAAGGTCTTTTCTCGGCCTGCAGCAGTGATTTAATGGGCCTGGCAGTGGCTGAGAGCCCTGGGCCCTTTTGAATTGCCAGGCCCTGGGGAAGTTGCTCCCTTTGCCCTCTCTCCTCCTGTCAGTGGGCTCGGTGCACAGTAACTACTATCACTAGCTATAACAGTTGAAGACCAAACCCCCAGGAGTTCTGGCATGTGAGGTAAATGAAATAACTTGTTTACACTCACTCAATTTTTAAAAATATTTCTTTTAAGATGGGTTTCTATTCCACATATGAGCTGGGTTAAAATATAAATTAATCTTTCAATGTGTTCTCTCTATCTAGATTCATAACCAGTGAGAGCATGAGAGAAAATTGCCTTTTGGGCCACCAAGATTCATGGGAGCAGTGAACGTAAGTTAGTGAGCAGCAAGAGGTTTTTCATGAAGAATAGCTGAATAAACTAACAATATGGTGGTGATGATATACAGTACTTACACACAATGTAATTCCATGCTTCTTTGTCAAAGGACAAGGCAGATCCAACCACTAAGACACCAGTGCAGGAAATCACAATCTGAAGTGTAAGGTGGGCTCAGGGCTAATTTTATCTACATGTTATTGTACCAGTCATCATTCCCTCCCCATTCTATCTACAATGCAATTGCTAGGCTTGCCAATGCCCCATTTTTGAGTGGAATGTCTGATTGAAAAGGAAGTTGGGCAGTACCACTGACCGGGCCATTGGAAGTCTGGGTGGCAGGCTCCCTACCTGGTTCCACGTGAGTCCCTGGAAGCATTATTATTTCCCTCAGATCCTAGGTGGAGGGATGGCCATGGGGGCTCTTTGCACGCTGCCCCAGCCTTGTGTTCCAGCTATACAGCTCCCATTAGCTAGGAACTACAGCCAATAGAAGCTGTACAGATGATGCCTGCAGGCTGAGACAGAGAACACCAGGCAGAGCTCCCTGGCCATGCCTCTGCCTGGGAGCTGAGTGGCATGTTGCCAAATCTAGTGATCCCCCAAAGGAAAGCACCCCCTGGATACCACTCCCTACGCTCCTTTCCACTCTTCAAATTTCTGTTCTATCCTGGAACCCTCTCCCAGACCCAAAATCCCATCCAGAGCCTGCACCCCACACTCCCTCCTGTACCCCTGCCCCAAGGCCCTTCACACACACAAACTGCATCTCCAAATCCACATTCCAAACTCCAACCCTCACCGACACTCTGGACACCCACATTTCTGGCTTTACCATGAAAACCAAACCCCCAGCCCAGAATTTATGCTTCCCTTCCACACCTCAATCCTTTGCCTCAGCCTGGAGAACTCTACCATACTCAGAACCCCTCAGCTTCACTCATAAACCCAGAGCCCCTCTTGCACCCTAAATCTCTCATCCCTGGCCCCAGAGATTGCACCCCAATCTCCTGCCTCAGCCTAGAACCCTCTTCCCCACCCTGAACTTCTCATTTTTACTCCCACCCCAGAGTCCACATCCCCACTTGGAGCTCTCACTTCTTCCTGCATCTAATCCCTAGCCCCAGCCCGGTGAAAGTATATAAGTGAATGAGGGTGTGAGAGAGCAAGCGACAGTAGGGAATGAAGTAAGTGGGGGGCAGGGCCTCAGATAAGAGGCATGGTAGGGAGCAGGTCAAGGTTGTTGAGTTTTGTGCAAATTAGAAAGTAGGCAAATCCAGTAATCACACAGTTGTCCTTGTGTTGTTAGCAACACTTATTTGATAGCATTAACTTTCTCAAGTTAGCCACAAACCTGGAAAATCATTTGACTTAAGGCCTTATATATCCATATTCAAACTCCATTTGACTGAGTCCATGATGGGTGCATCTGGGCATATGCTCTAATAAATACACAAAGAAATTCATAAAAACAATAAAAGGATTAATATTAGACCTTTACCTTCATAGCCCCAGGAGCACAAATCATCTGTGGTTCCATAAATCTTCCATTTGCTCTTTACACTTGCTTCCTTGGACAGTATGATATTTTCTTCTTCTCGGCTACCAGAATGAAAAAATAAATCTTCTCCTTCAAGTGAAACCTGGGTTTCATTTCTGCATCCCCACTGTTGAAGTTCACTTGTCTTGTTGCAAGGATAGAGAGTAATTGCAACCTGGTCTTTCTTTGAAGGCACTCCCAAACATAGTTTCAATGACATGCTCAAAAGCTGGTGATCAGAGACCCACCTGAATTTCTGTGACTCATTGTCCTGGTTGCAAATGGCAGTTCTGACTGATCGAGAACTGTGAGCTTGAACGCAGCGCTTGTGGTCTTCATTATATATTAAAAATATTCCACTATCTATAAAACAACATGAGAAAAATTATTTTTTGGGCAGAAGGATTTATAAGCAGAAGAATAGATTTTTTTTTTCTGCTGAAGGAAGCAAGACTTTTACCACTTAACTATAGGGTTTGTAAACTTATGCAGAAAGAAATAATTTCTTCTGCAGCACTGATAACTGAGGAAAAAGAAATCAGGTGTGACTCAGGCTATGTCTTCACTACAGAGTTTTTCCGGGATACCTCCAGTATCCCAGAAAAACTCTGCCTTGTCCAGGGAACACGTCCACTTTTTTGGTACAGTTTCCAAAAAAATGGACTCATTCTTTCAGAAGCCCTGTATTTCTCATTTTGTAAGGATAGGGCTCTTCCAAAAGAGGAAGTTTTTCCAACATTAGGCATGATTTTACTTTTGTAATAATGTGAAAATCAATCAACTGCCTATTTCAGTAATTTTTTAATGGTTCCCACAGAGTATTTCCAATTCTCCATACTGAACCTTTCACTTTTTCAGAAATATCAATTCCTCGTCAAATCTTCCTGGCTGAACCATACATTCCTGATACATTCAAAACTCATTGTGTCAAATTCTCGTCCTGCCCTGCTCCACGGAGTAGGACCAGCCTGCGTTGTGTGGCTGCAGAGTTGAGGTCAGAAACTGAGGAGACAATGTGCCCTGCCTCTAGCACGGCAGCACTACTGAATGTTCTAAACACATTCCCTTTATTGTAAACCTAATTTCTGAGTCTTTGATTCTCCTTTCATTCCTCCTCATTTAAATCAGAAGTTATGACACTGAAATCAAAGGAATTGCAACTGTGTAAATGTAAGGTGACTCTTCAGTCAGAATTGGTCTCTCTAGCTATAGGAAACAGTTGTGAGACATTTAAAGATAAGTAGACAAGATGTTGTTGAGATACAAGACTTTATAAAAACAGTGTTTCACAACCCAGCTACACAGAATTGCACCCCTATCTTGTTTCCATAAACCAGTCAATTTAATATTTTATAAATAAAAACATAAAAAAATAATCACTGCACCAAAGAGCCTTGAAGTGACCTGGGAAAAGCATGAGAAGAGAAGAACTTTCATATTCTCATATACAACAGAGAGAGAACATAGACTTACCCAGCTGCTGAATAGCTCCATGCATAAGAGAGAAAAAAACTAGGAGAAGGGAGAGAGTCATTGCAAATATTTAATTGCTTTCTTCTGATCTGTAAGTAGTTTCTGTCACAGACACACAAACTCCATATGACATGAGCTGCATAGTAGGGCCTTCTTAGTTCTGAAGGCAGATGAATCGGGGAAGTTTCTAAATAAGGGAATATCCTGTCACATGTGGCATTTTGAAACATCAGGAATTCATAGAGCAAACTTTGTTTTTGTAAGTGAATCACTTTCTACTGAGGCTAAAGTCTCCTTCCACAGAAATGCAGGTGATAAGCAAAGCAGTGTCAGTTCAGTGCAGTTTTACTGGGGACATGTTTGAGTGACAAAGAGGTCAGTTTTTGGGTTGCCAAGTTTTCTGCCCTCTACAAGGCAAAAGTTGCCCCTGTAGTAAAAGCATAACACCCCTTTCCTTTGATAAACTTTAAAAGTCCTTCTAATACTGAGAAAAGAAGTATGATATCCTACTCACATAATTCCTTCAAAATTCCGGTGATATGTGATATATGTAGCCTTCCTTTTTTCAGGAACTGGAAGTTAAGATATTTCTTCTTGTCATAGTTTATACCCATAAGCATCTATTTAGAACTGTATACAAAGGTAGGTGTATAGTCTGCATGTTCCCATATTCAAGATACATTGGGGTATGTCTACACTACAGCGCTAATTCGAACTAAGCTAATTCGAACTAACGCATCCAGACTAAAAAAACTAGTTCAAATTAGCATTTTGCTAATTCGAACTAGCATGTCCACATTAAGTGGACTCTGAACTGGGGTTAAAGATGGCCGGAAGCAGTGCCGGCAGGGCATCAGATGAGGACTTAGAGCGTGGAGCTGCTGTCTCAGGCTAGCCGAGGGCTGTGCTTAAAGGGACCCGACCCCCACCCCCGACAGACAGTTCTCAGGGTGCCCCACTTGCAAAGCAGTCCTGGCTTGGACTGCCCGGAGTGCCCACACTGGGCACATCACAACACTCGGCCATCAGACCAGCTGCACTTGCCGCAGGCTGCCATCTGGGGAGAGGGGGCAATTGGGGGGCTGCAGGAGAGGTTCCACCCCCAGAAGCCCGCAGAGCCAGCCCAGTCCTCCCCATCGGGGGCTCATACCCCATTCCTCCCTCACCTCCTTCCACTTACCCTTCCTTAGCCCCCCTTCCTGAAGTACAAAATAAAGGACAATTGTGTTCAAAAATAGAATCTCTCTTTATTGAACAAAACTGGGGGAGACTGGGAAAAGGAGGTGGGAGAGGGGAGGGCAACTACAATGATGAGGGGTTTGGAACAGGTCCCATATGAAGAGAGGCTAAAGAGACTGGGACTTTTCAGCTTAGAAAAGAGGAGACAGAGGGGGGACAGGATAGAGGTCTCTAAAAGCATGAGTGGGGTGGAGAGGGTGCATACAGAAAAGTTCTTCATTAGTTCCCATAAA